TCTCTAGAAACCTGACGCCGCGACATAAACCACATCGACTACTTGAGTCCTCCTCGCTGAATTCCAGCTCAGTGTCGCTAACTGGTATCGGCATTGGCGGCACGACGACACACCGGAAAATTGTTTCTTTGATTGTCTGCTGACGATGTGAAGGTCTGGTACTGGAATCTCTGGTACTGAATCCAGAGTTGGTAGCTCTCTTTGCCGCGACAGTTAGCTTTTGGCTAATAACGGCATTTTCCTACTCTCTTCATAAAGAAAAAACACTCCAGAACTCGGCTAATTGGCACACTTGATGGCACACTTCTCACTGGCGAGTACTTTGTAACATGGTTGTGACATATTTGTGACATATGCAGCGACTGGTAAACTGCCCTCCTGGTGTTTTTAAATACAAATCTTGTTTTGTAGTTGAGGTAAATCTGCTGATCACTCTGCTCTTGTTGGTCTGTTTCATATTTTTTAAGGAAACCCTCACGATGGAGTCACAACTGTTTTTCTCTCCACTCGCTCTCTTTGCCCACTCCATCTCCCAGCCTCATAAATATACATCGCCTCACATCTTGTGGCGTTGATACGATATTGTTCTATGAAAAACATGATAAATAACTACCCTATTTACCAGCTAATGTATTGGACACAAAGCTGTTTCCCAGCCTACACTGTAGGGCTTTAATCATTCATCATTTGTTAGTCGCTCAGTCTTCTCCTCATCTGAATACGTCCTATAATAAGACTCCAGAAAACCAACGCGGACACATTAGCGGTCCCAGGGCTTTGGTCGGGTTTTCATCAAACCACTGAGTGATGTGGAGGTGGCGCTCTCTCTGTAGTCCATGGTCATATCTCATCGGTTATTCTCCTGATAAAGCCAGCGGCAAACAAAAGCCACACGGCCGCTGTGATTCAGATCCGATCAGCGAACCCGCCCTGGGGGACAAAGGACACACGGACCAAAAAACAACATATATATTTTGTAATCTCTTTGTCTGTGAGCCTGTGCTTATTTATGTGTGTGTAGTCACTGTTTGCAGTCTGCGCCGCTGCAGAAAAAACCACAATCACATTTCTATCGAGTTAGAGGAGTCAGAGGGGACCTGACGGCGTCTGCTTTTTGCCCTGAGAGTAACTGGAAGTGAAGATGATTGAATTATCTTCAGGCAGAAAGGAACATATTGGAACGTGTATCTTCAGATAGTGAGGGGCTGGAGACACTGGAAACATAAACTCCATTCTCCTGCTGAATTGATCTCATGTTGCTCTGTAATTGGATCGGGAAAGTTAGAAAAGGATGGAGGGAAATTACTATAGGTTACATCAGGGATTTGGGGAAACGCTCGGCTTTGTAGTGACACTCGGCGATTATTTGATCACACACACGCTGAGTTTTGTGTCGCGCTTGAAGCTCATTGTGTTTTGGATTTGCTTACCCAACAGAGGGCTCAGCATTGAAGATTAACAGCAACAAAGCCACAGTGCTCAAAAACCAAACACCTGCAAACTAAAGAGAGAGTCTTACACGGTTATTTCAAAGAGACCGCCTCGAAAAATTACAGATTTTAGTCCTTTTTTTTTTTGGTGCAGAAGCTCCCGTAGGAAACCACGCAGTGAGACATCGACTTAAAGGCAAACATAAAGAAATCACTATATGAATAAATCAAGATTAAACAAGGTCTCTCACCTGCATTATTTACTGTATAAATCACAGCAGAATATTTGCACACAGGTTCAGGGTTGCAAATGTGATTCAGAGCTTTTATTTGTTACTCATTTATTATCCAGAGAGAATTTAAAAGTGTGATTTAGACAGTTATGTCAGGTCACTTCTAACAGTTTATACTCAGGTCATCCAAATTAAAGGTTTGGTACGTGTATAATCAGATTTTCTTTATACATCATACAATACTCAAAGATTCAGCTCAGCTGCTTTGGTGGAAATCCTTTTCATCAATGTTCAGTGGTCTTATTGGGGTCATCGGCCACCTACAAGACCAGCCTGAACATAGATGTAAACTCAATAGAGTGAATTTTCTACATACGCCTGTTATGTGTGAAACAGAAGGTCAATTGGAGTCATTATAATAGATTATAACGAGTTCAGGGTCGAGGTTAGAGGTCAGAGGAAGAGAAATGTAATCATAAGACGGTGGAAATGATGACAAACACCAGGTTATAGTTGCTCTGTGTGTGTGTGTGTGTGTGTGTGTGTGTGTTGGTGTTTAGGTGTGCGTTTCTGTGTTTGTGGGTCAGCCGGCTTGAAGCAGCGGGGCTCCCCACATGTCTAACCTTTCCTCTGCCTCCTGCAGGCATGTGGCACCGGGCTGACACTGACCTCATACAGGCCAGACAACATGCACACACACACTCTTACACACACACACACTTGCATACACACTCTTACACATGCATACACAGAGGACCTGAATAACTCAAAACAGGTCATTTTTACCTGGCCTTTCTGCCCTCCATGGCCTGAATCACTCAACACACAAACAAACATACAAATCTAAATCCACCCTGACTGTAAAACATATAAAATATTCATTCTTAATAATAGAAATTTAAAATCCGTACTTTTAGGAATAGAAAGGGAGCAGAAACACTAAAGTAGTTGAATAAATGTTGAAAAGACACGGATAAGCCTGCCAATAAGGACAGATGTAATTCACTCTGTCAGAAACACGTTATCACTCCACTTATCATCTTTGAATCTTTTACCCTGAAGCTGCAGATTCACAAACATCCACATTTAGAAGCAGCTTCCTCCTCAAGGCTGTCGCTAAGCTCCCAAAAGCTCATAAACCGTAACCTTCCTCTTCTTCTTCTTCTTCTTCTTGTGTATTTGTGCACTCGTCTCCACCGACCTGTTCTTTATGCATCCATGAACAAACGCGGCTCCCAGGGCTTCAACACACATATACACATCGAGTTAATATACAAACATAACACACTCTGATGTCTGTTTTCATCAACACATTTCAAAATGAAAAGAGTCCTTTCTTTATTCAGATGTTTGGTAATGACCTCTTATGTTGAATTGCTCTCTTTGTAAATTGATATCAGACTCAAAGCAGATTTAAGAGGTTTGTTTTTCTGCTCATTTCAAGTTAAAGTCGCTGAAATCTCTGTAGCTGCTCTGCCGGATTTAAAAGTGGAGGGACGTCCAACAAAAGGAAGAAAATGTTTATTTAACCAACTCGAGTGTCTAAATTTGGCTTCTGTTTGGGATTGGTGATATATGACACTGTCTCTTTAAGGCCCCTCCCTGAAAAAAAAAGGGTCCTATGATTGGTCAGTTGTTTGGGATAGGTGATTCTACTGTACCTGAGTTAAATGACCATATAAGGAGTTAACATCAACAACAATAAAGCATTTTTTTTTTTAAACCTAAGTTTACCGTAGCTTTATAACTTTACCCATATCTAGCTTAATGCTAAAATTCTCTCTAAACCACGATTGGCCACCCGGCCATATCAGAGGCGGGACTTATGTTATAATTAAGGCCCGGGCCTACAGCGCAGCTGTGCAGTGAAGCCCTATTGAACCCCAAGGGGTTCTCGAATATTATTATTATTATTATTATTATTTTACAGCCTCTGAAAACGCAAATTTGACTCCCTGAACGACCTCGAAATCTCACAAAAATTTGCAGGCAGGTCGGGCCTGGCAAAGATCGCAATGTTTTAAAGTGACCCACAAAAGTCGATAAAAAATGGCTCACTAGCGCCCCCTAAAATGCGCCACGAATGTCGACTTTGTCCTATCTGCCCGAAATTTTACAGACACGTGTATCTTAATGAGATTGTTGATTTTGTGCACTTGGACTTTTTTCCCAGACGCGCAGTTAAAGAGTTATTCCGCTGTTTTCAGCTGTTGTTAGCCATTGTCAGTTGTGGTTAGCGGTTGTTAGCTATACCAGTTGTAAAAAACACAGTATTTTACTCTTACAAACACCACAGCACCGTGTTCACAGTTAGATGTTGGGCAGTACGACATAAACCACTTATTTAATTTCACAAAAACAAAAACATAAAACATTATGAGAGCTTTCACTGTTGCTCTTTACTGTCATTGCACTGGGCTGCCATCTTGGATTATGACGTTGTCATCAAGTCGGGGTTGTGGAGGATCATCCGACTTTCCAAGTCAAGAATCTGACTGAAGGGAGGCGTTCCAGATGAATTCCTGACTCGGAGCTCAGAAATTCCAACTGGAACGCAGCAGAAGTCGCTCCATTACTTAAAGGGATCTGAGGTTCAAACTGCAGGACTTTAGAGAAAATATAAGTCAGAAAACATTTTTATTTTAATCAAACTTCTCCCTCATGTGTTTATTTTATGTAAACTATATTGTGAAACTGATGAGAGAGCTGATTAGCACGGATAGATTGTATTGATCAGGATGACATTGCAGTCTCTAAGTATTTGCTGAGAGCTGGAAATGCTGCTGCTGAAAAAAAAAAATGTTTCAATTTGGCAACACGAGTAGTGTTCAAGCGCTGAAAGGTTGTAAACAAACCCGGAAAACTGAGCCAAGTTCATCAAAGAGAAAAATTATATATGTGTGTCGACAGAGGTCACAACAGGGCTGTAGATCTGACAGTGTCAGCAGTTTAAGGTCATAAAAGTCAACATCAGCAGCCAGTTATATTTATCCCTTTATAAACAGCTGAAAGCAGCGACTGCCAACATTCATTTGAAATAATTTCTCAATGTCAGGAGCGTTTTGGCGAGAAGAAAGGCAAAGAGAGGGGGAAGAATGAGTAATGTCTGTCGTACCGTTAACTCTGCACCATAACTTCTCAGCCACCGTTTTACTGCCCCTCGTGCTGCCCTCTAAGAGCTTGGCACAGTCACATGGCATTAGCATCTCACGCCATAACTCCCCTCGCCGCTCCTATTATCACCAGGGTGATCGCACACTCACTCAAACACACACACATACACACACATACACACACAGAGCCACATTTCCAAGGGGAAGCGAATACTTTCAGCCGTTTAGGTCATTTTTTGGTTGGGCGGGCACAGCCGAGCTGCGGGTGTAGTATTGTGAGAAATGAGTGTGTAGGAAACACGCCACTGGTGGGTGACGGGGCTTTAATGTTGATCATATAAAATCAAATCTGCAGACCCAATTCCAATAACCCTCGCAGTCCTAATGGATTAAAGTGATAGCTCACTATTAACCGCAGCTCGGGTTTTCTTTACTGCCTCCCTGAAACACACCAGAACCAGAACGGCCAAGGTTATCCGGCGCCGAGGAGGAGTAACAGGGCGGCAGGAAGGTGCAGCAGCAGCAGCAGCGTGGCTCAGTGTGGAGCTGAGGCAGAGAGAAACAACACTTTGCTTTCAGATCACACTTTGGGAGGAAACAGAATCCCAACTGAGCTGTAAAGGCGTTTTCTCAAATGTCACTTTCTCTCTTTCATCCCACAAACACGAGCGTAGATGTCACCTGGATGAGAATTTGTCTTTAAAGAAAAGATGCTTTTCAAGCTAAATCCCTTTTTTTGGCCAGTGGAGATATTTAGTACAAGTGCAGGGCTGGAAGCAGGGACATCTCTGCTCGACTGATAAGCTGCGAGGGGCTCCATTTGCCTGCAGGGATATCTACTTCTTCAGTGTACCTGCCTGTGCCAGTGTGTTTAGACAGATGGTACAACTGAAGCATATTTTGCCTGCAGCCCAGGCTACATGTCAGCGCACTATCTCTGTGGTCCAGACTCTTTGGGAGTTTCAATCTTTTAAAGGGATGCTGTCATCCTCAGCTGTCATGATGTGATCATACGGTCTGAGCGTTCGTCTCCCGGTGCGCCCCGTGTCTGTATTTCTGCAGAACCGTACTCTGCTCAGCGGTTAAACATTTACCAAAGAAGCCAAAAGAAACGTGGTTATGAACAGGACGGAGACTTAAAGGGAGATTTCAGTGTTTCTGCAGACGAGGCTGACTCTGACTAGTGGTGGGCAAAACCGGTCATTTCAGTGAACCGGATCATTCCGGATCGTTCAGTAAAAGGACCCGTTCTTTTCGGTCTTTTCGGTCAATCGGTCATTAGTCAGTCAGTCCGCCCACCCCCGGTCCAACGCTGCGATCGCGCTGCACTCCTTGTAATATAAAATTATAGTAGGAGTAACAAAATATATAAGGTTTTTAATGTTTTTTTATTATTTTGAGGTGCATTAAAAACAATAATAAAAAGTACAAAATGTCAACAGACAGTGCAAATGCGTATTAATAGTTGTCTCTCTGCCTCTGGCTGCAGCAGCAGCTGTGTGCCTTTGCGTGTGTGTGACTGTCCCGCTCGCTCCGGCTTGGCTGTCGGGCCTCGTGCGGCGGCCACTCAACTCGGTCTTTCAGTCAACTCGTTCATCCGTCTGGATCTTTCGTTCAACTCGGTCTTTCGTTCATTTGACCCGTTCTTTCAGTCAACTCGGTCATTCCGGTCTTTCAGTCAGCTCAGTAGTACTGCTGCTGCTTCTCTAAGCCCCACCCACACACAGAACGAGGCACGACGATAGGATAAGACAGGCAAGCAGCCCCTCTTCAGCCAATCAAAATAACTGAACGGATTGAACGGGTCATTTAGGGGGGAAGAACTAGTTCATTTCGTTCATCAAAAAGAACTAGTTCTTTTGATCCGTTCGTTCAAGACCGACACACCACTAACTCTGACGTGTCATTTAGCTAATTTACTGAGACTCTGAATCAAGCACTCGCCGTGGTTTAAGTCTTAGCTCGACGAAATTTGTTTTCGGCACTTAAAGATGCAAAAAAAAGAGGATAGCATCTTGTATCTGCTAGCAGTTTCAAAGTAAAGGGGCCGAACTAACCAGCAGCCATTGCAGCAAATACACTAACCCCCAAATTCCACTGCTGCGAAAAGGCCATATCCGCCGATCGCAGCTGATCGTAACCATTCAAGTTAATGTGTCAATTTACACCAACTTCTTTCCGATCTGCTGCGGACGCCGGAGCAAGGCGGATAAATTCAGCACAGATTAACCCGTGCTGGAAAGGAAGTCGGGCACAGACACAAAATAAAACATCCAGCTTCTTTTCAAAATAAAACAATAAGCAGAGGCTTCAGATCAAGTATTTCATCCTTCATAGTGTCAGGAAAAGGGGGAAAATAGCTTTAAACACTCAGATATACATCCGAGAATCAATCATGTGAAATAGTGGAAGCTTTTTGCATGCTTAGTAAAAACCCCACTCGTGTTCTCGGCCTAAAATAAAAAGTGATAAATAGAGGGATAGTAAAAAGGATGTGTGAGAAGATAAACAGGTTTGCAGAGTATTTTTCAGAGCCTGAGCATCCTCCACAGTACCGCCCCCCCCACAGCCCTGAAACTGCACCTGAACTGGTACTGCTGCTTTGCTTCTGATCCTTTTAGTGCTGTAATCCGCTTCAGCAAACAACCTCTCAGTGTTCCCTCACCGTAAGCTGTTTTTCTCTGATGGCTTGATAACAGCTGTAAATTGGAAACTAATCCTGAAAGCTTTTTATTTTTCCGCTACATTCTCTCTATCTCTCTCTCTCTTTCGCTCTCTCTTTTACATTTGTGTCTCCGCAGGTGAGGAGGGTCACTATCACTCACTTTTTAAACTTAGATTTAATCACGAACAATGCTTTTACTCGTGTTTGAGCTTCATTCGATCCAACATGCCTCGGTTAACTCAGTGTCGGTGCAGATGCATGGTGACTTTTAGCTTTTGCACAATTTAAGAACGACCACAACTGACTGCTTCAAAGTTTTTCGGCTTTTAATGGCAAAGAAATTTAGTTTGACTTTAAAAGAATTTCAAAAACATTTAACTCAGAATGATCAGGGATGAGTCACCAACTTTTCACTCTTACATTTCCCTCAATAATTCAGAGAGTCGATGTAAGACTAAACTTTAATATCTCTTCAGACTGTTGGAGGTAAATCGCCATCCTTTTATTAGCGGAGTCGACTTTTTCTGCCCTCTAACCGGGACACCAGTTTACATTTTTATGACACAAAGCTGTCTGCACTAAAAAAGCTTTTCAGAGGTCATGCTTGTTTTAGAAAATTACCTCCACATGTAATCGTCCCCAGAGTTTCCCCATCCTCAGACTGCGGCTCATATTTATGTGACCCGTCAGACGGGACGAGGACGTGGAAATGATTTTCCTCTGTTCCTCCTGCTGACTAATTTCTCTCTCACTCTTCTCGTCTGTCCTCTTTTCTGCTTGCAAAGACATTTTTATGCTGCGCACACACAGATGCACACACTCGTTGGTTCTGTCTCAGCTCATGAGGTGGTTAGTGAGGTGTCCCATGTGTCCGACATATGGGTCATTACCCGTCCGCTGGATCATCCTAAATTGCCGGGCACATTCTTCTGCAGACATGATTGTTTTAATGGACGCCGATGATATACAGACTGCAGCGCCAACCTGACTCTTACAGCCGGGTGTGTTTACGTACTTTTCTTTGGACCGCTCGTTTCTCTCTCTGCTCTTATTTTCGTGTGTTTGTGTCCCGATGTGTTTACTCGCTGAGGGGGCGTTCATGTTTATTAATCCAGGATGTAATTCTTGTTAGTTTATGAATGATGACAAGTCTCTGGAGGCTTTTCTGTACTCATCCAAAATGATGCTTGCTTGCAGATGAAGTGGACTTGAAGAATCCTGGATCCTTGGTACTGAGTTGTATTTTGATGTCTTGTTAGCAGGTTGGCCAAGAGCCATGAGACGGTCTGAATATCTGAAAATGAAATTAAGTGAAGTGGAGAATAATTTACATGGAGTATTTTAATATCTTCTTTAACTCCTAAGTTTCTTTATTCTTTGATTTCTCTTTTGTGTTTATCGCTGCTGAAATTTCGGAACTTCCCCTTGTGGGACGAATAAAGGAATATCTTATCTTTACTGTCCTATAGGTTGATCTACTGATGCTAGAATAAGCTGAGCCTCTTGAAAATACTTCTACCCGTCATATTTCTATACCCAGAGCAGGACATAATGCTCTTTCAAGCAGAAAACATCCAGGATCTGTATTGAGTGCATTACGCATTTGCTCCGTAGAGCAGCATTTGGTATCTCATACAGGATCAGCGTATTTGGAGTGTAGCAGTAGCGTAGTGCAAGTAAACTCTGTTCCTTTATGCTGTAACCTTCAGACAGAGTTAGCAGGTCAAAGTCCTGTTGGGGTCCACATGGATCAGGGATTGACCATCGGATTGTTCTGTTCCGGTCTCACAAAGCGAACAGATTTTCCTGTGAGTCTGGATCTGCAGGGTTTGATTATGTGCATCCACTCTCGATGTTTCGCCTTACAGCTATTTTTAAGTAAGTAAAACCTTCAAGTGATGATCCACTGAAAAATTAAAAACTTTTGTTCCTTTTAGACTGAAAACAGAAACTGTTAAACTCTGATTAAACTGCTTTTATTTCGACACTTCAGTTAATTTAGACGTTTGTTGTTTTCAGGAACTTTTCCAACTCTGCGTATGTCAGCGCTCCAAGTTCACACTCACGCCAGATTTATCACGCTCTCTTCTCTGAGACAAAGCACTGCGCACCAAAACACACACTGACACAGGGTTACATCCGAACTCCTCAACACACACACACACTTACACACACACAGCACAGATGCAGTCAGAGCCAAGGCTGTGACTTTAATTATCACCTTGTCTGAGTCTAAATGAGAGTGTGAGGCTAAGCTCATCTCCACATGCACTCTGTGTGTGTGTGTGTGTGTGTGTATGTGTGTGTGTGTGTGTGTGTGCAGGAGATAGAATTCCTCATTAAATCACTTCAACATGCTAATTGTCTCTTTTCCGCCGGTTTGCTTTCTTTCCGTTTGTGTGAGAGAGGGTTTCTTTGTGCAGGCTGATTGCAGGGTGGTCAGCTGCCGTCGCCGTTCAGCACCTGAGCCAAAAAAACCTCCGACACAAACAGTTTGATTCATTTCTTTATTTTCCACATTCTTCTCTCTAAACTAGTGTTTACTCTGGTTTCATACAGGCAGGAATATGGCGGCTCAGTCAAATACAGTCTGTAGGGCTGCCATTAAAAGTTTTCTCTGCAGCTATACATCAGCTTCAGTTTGACCTGTCTGCAGTGTGAGTCTGCAGGGAGACATGATGCAGTTTGGAGGTTTTCAACAGAGATGAGTCTCTCCCGGTGTGAATGCACAGGATAAACTTTGAGTATAGGCCTGTCATTAGTTGCAGAGTTACAGATATAATCTATATATGATAAGAGGACAAAACTAGCATGATGCAACAACCATGTTAGTTTTTGCAGCTAACTTATTTCTGTGTTGTCTATTTTGTCGTTCTTCTGCCTTAGCGTCTCGGTCTGATTGTATTTCCATGAAGAAATGATCATAAATGTTCTTCCTTGAGCTGCGGCACCCCGCTGTAGTCGATGTCACGCCCGGAGGTCTCACTACAAACAAGCGGCTGCTGGAAGAGAGTAGGTGAGTTGTGTTTAGTCTCTTTGCTAAAGAAATGAGTCAAAGTTAAAAAGATGTTTGGTGTCTAGTACTATGTCTGTGACCCTTTATGTCCTGTTGATGAAGTTAGGTGCTGTTCTGAGCATTATTTGTGGCTATAGAGTGGCGTTTTGGTTGAGCACATGGCTCTTGATTAATTAATTTTACGTTGGAATATCCCTTTAACCTTCTGCGTGTGATTTATGAATTTGACTGTAACTTTGAGCGTCATTTGCTCGATTTAGGAAAAAAAACTAACTTTGCAACATAATTACTACATCATGCTGAAACTTAGGTCTATGCAATTAAAATTAGAGACATCATTTCCTTAAATGTGCATCAAGTCATCACCTTCTGTTATAAACTAAGCTAGTTGTGCAGCTCAGTAGAGGGCAGATATTCTGTAAACATGTTTTTATGTTGAATCAGGGACACGAAAGAGGAGGTTACACAGCAAATTTATGACTTATTTATTTTCCACGTTAATGTTGCAGAGAAAGATAGCAGTACGGGGCACAGTAGATCTGTCATATCCCCCAAAGTGACATTTCAGCGCCCTGTGATGTATGATTTGATTACTATCGCACGTCTAGGACATTTCACTAAGCTGAAAATCAATGGGGCTCAATGGAGAGGTTGTATCAGACATAAATCATCTCAGCCTCCCTTATCTTTCCCTCTGTGTGACATTAGATGTAAAGAGAGGGGGAGATAGTGCAATAGATAGGGAATAAAAGAGAGGAGAATAAAAAAAAGGGGGATATGATAAGGACAATGTATAAAAGCAGGCTGTAAAACTGAGAGAAGGGAGGACAGAGATGGGAGAAGATAATCAGGAACAGAGATTAGCACAGCAGAGAGGAGGAAAGAAGAAATGACAATGATGATATAAAAAAAGAGGGAATAAAAATGTTAGATTAAGATATGAGGAGGTGAGAATAAATGAGCAAATAAAGAGGACGATGAGATAAACTGACAAAATACACATAAAAATAACACACACACATGTTTCTGCAGAGGCGAAGAGCTACAACAGGGTGGCATCTGTGTTTAAACCTGCGACTCTGCAGCAGTGCCACTCACACTCCCACAGAGGAGCCGGAGCAAATGGGGAAGGATTACGGTGGCGGCGGTTGGCGATGGTTGTCGGGTCAGTGCATCAGACACAGAGCTCATTTTTGACCCAGCAGCTGGTTAAGTTGCTCCAGAGGGAAGAAGAAGCATGGCAATTTCTTTAGCTCCTGCAGCTCATGAAGAAGAATCAGAGACGGGGATGGTGCAGAGAGAGAGAGAGAGAGAGAGAGAGAGAGCTGGGAGGGGAAATCTAGTCCTGAATTAAAACCAACCGTTATAAAAAAATACAGAAATAAATGTCACTTTCATTTCCAATTTCCAATTTTCCTCCAAAACAGGATGTAAACATATTTAAAGGACATTCAAAAAAGACATTTTACATAGGATCTAATTGGGATTATGTCACTTTTCTAACCAGCCCCGTGTGGACACTTTAGGAACTGCAGCTTTTTTTTTTTCACTATTTGAGCTCCACAGACACGTATCGTCACCTGTTTCCTGAAATCGTCTCTTTGTTTGATTTTGTTTTATCCGTTTTCATAATTATTAAAACTTTTAATGAAAAAAAAAACAGAGCCGTCAATAAAGGAAAAGTCTGTTGTATGAAAGAAAAGAAAATAAATACTGAAGGAGCTTTTTAGAAAGTTTTTAAGTGCTCTCTCTGCAAACTTTAATGAAAGATTACTAATTAAAATCTGTCAATATCAGTAAATTCTGACGCAGTATAATGGCTGTGAACAGATAACAGTGAAAGCCTGTTAGATTTAAATGTCATCCAGCATTGATTTTTCAAGAGTATTACCGCTCTGTTATTACTTATACCATCTTCTTGTCAGTCTGAATAACGTCTTCAGCAGAAATGTCAGACAATAACCGCTCAAAGGAAATCGTTCACTTTTCAAACAACAAATACACGTCTGCACGTCTTTTTAAAGCTGAACACAATCAAATCAGAAACTCACTTTTGATATTTGAAGAACACATCAGGGTTTTTAAACTCAGTTAGTCTTCATCTACCTTCAAACTCAGGGTGGAGAATCAGCCCCCCCAGAAGAAGCCGAGCTCAGGGCCTCTGTACGTGTGAACACAAAGGTCAGGTTTAATCTGCACAGCTGCGATATCTCCTCTGTAAGCTGCTGATGATAATTGTTAGTCTCCACCATCAGCGCTGCTGCCCACACCCGAAGAGCAGACGATGAATACTCCGTAATTAAAAGCCAGACTGTGCATACAGGTACATCTACGTCTATAAATGCTGTCCGCAGGCTTGTAGGGCGTTTACACCAAACACAAATAAAATCATCTACTCGCTTCATTCGCGCGAATCATTCACTCCATTCCATTAGCTGCAAAGCGCCTGTCTATCTGTTTAATGTTAGTAAAAGGATTTATGTATATATTTTCACACCAGTGAACATCTCCTGGTCTATTTTCATGCGTCACCGCAAACATTCACCCAAGTTGAGATATTTCAACTCAAGCAATTTCGCCTTGTTCGCGCGAATGAGAAGAATTCTCTTCATTCGCCTAAATAACTCCCTCAATTTGTGTGAATAACTCTCTCGATTGGTGCTATTAACGCTGTCCAATTCACGCCATCTGTGCCGCCAGAGAAATAAGAGCGTCTAATCGCATCCTTGCATTGACGTTACATGTAATTCATTCGCGCGAATGATTTCTGTTC